ATTTCTTAACGAATGGCCTCGGAAGGGAGTTCTGGTATGGGTAGGAGTTTAGAGATTGTGAGGGTGGACGAGCCCATTGTGGCAACCTCCTCAGAAATAGCTGGGGCCATAATGGGAGGGGAAAACATGTGGAAGCGACCGAATAGCCCTCCGGATACTTCTGTGCACTGGGGGACATCGGACTACCCATCAAAGTTGAGGGAGGCCGACCTTGGTAGACTTAGGACGGAATATAGGATCCCGGACAGTGTGGACCTGATTCTCCCAGGGCCAGAAGAGAGAGCTTGTTACCCAAGGTCGGGCTGCGTGGCCATTAGTGAGGCGATCCTTAGGGCCGGACTTAGGCTGCCTATTCACCCGTTCTTTAAGTTGGTGCTTAGGTCTTACGGGCTAGGCCCGACGCAGCTCAATCCGAACTCCTGGAGCCAGATGGTGGGCTCCTGGATATTGTGGAAAGAGGCGTCGTTAGGAGTGGAGATGCCCCTTTCCGTTTTCCAAACTCTTTACATACCCAAGGTTACTGCCGGGGGGGATAAGACCCGGGGCTGGTACTACCTGACGTCGTGGGGTTCCCACACTCCATTTGTGATCGATCTGCCGAGCTCCATCAAGGAATGGAAGAGCTCTTGGTGCTGGGCAGCGGGGCGATGGGACACAATGGAGGGGGACCCCCTGGCGCCTCTTACAGTCCCGGCGAAGTTTTCAACACTTAGTGAGTATAGTAGTTGATATTTTATTTCTCTTCGGTCGGGCTTGTGTTTAACAGATGTTTCTTTTCGCAGGTTCCCTCCCTCGGTGCGAGCTGTCGACAGAGGACTTCGACATTATTTGCGTTATTTATCAACTGCCTCAGAAGAAGAGGTCATATCACAGGCTCATTCGGAAAAACATACACTTCGTCACTCACGACTTAATGGCGTCCCAAGGTAATAGGACCGAAGCCCACACTCTTTTAACCTGAACTCCCTATACTTGTATTAATTCCTCACTCGTTTCTTTGCAGATAATTTCAACAAGAAGCTGCCAGTACGCCCTGACTTCAAAACTATTCAGAAAATGATGGCTGAAGTAAGGGCACTGAAGGCCTCCTCCTCTTCATATAAGAAGCAAATGGAGGAGCTGGTGGAGGCCAGTAAGAGACTTCAGCCTCCGA